ATCCGAAACTAATTAAACGAGGTAGGAACTAGTCAATAGAAGCTCAAGAGTTCGCATTTTAATTACTAAAGTAATTTTCCAACGCTAAACACAAGTTTCCTAAAATTCGACCCCGGACCCACGTGCCCGGATTCCGAAACTTTTCGAAGAAAGTTGTTCTTTATAACCTAAGGATCAATAATATATGATTTCTACTTCATTCCATAACAAATTTTATGGTTAAATCTAACTTATATCAAAACCCTAGGTTTTGCTCTAATCCCATGATTTTTCCTTTATCTTTGTGTGTTAATCTACCCGAGGTTTAAGTATTAAACTAGAAATAAATAGGATGAACTTACCTCAAGATGCTAGGTGAAAGTCCTCTATCAAGAGCTCCAAAATCTCCCAATGAATGAGTGAGAATGAGCAAAAATGGCCTAGAGCCCGTAATAAATGAAGCTCACTGCTTCAGTGATTTCCGCATTTGCGGTCCTAGGCCGCACTTGCGCCCACTGCATCTGCGAAAAGGTATCCGCTTCTGCGGAAATTCAGCTAGGCTGCTTCTGCGGCTTCTGGTTTGGCCTGATTTGGCCGCTTATGCGAGGGGACGATCGCTTCTGCAGTCTCGCACCCGCGGCTGACCAACCGCAGGTGCGGTTATGACAGCAACCTGGAGCTTCAGCTCCTCCCCAAGTTTTCCAACTTCACTTGAGCCTCGCCCGATTGACGCTCGGGGCCTCTGGGCCCTGCCTGAACATATCGACAAATTTAAAATCATAAAATGGACTCGCTCAAACCCTCGGATCGCCCGAAACAATGCTAAATCTAAGAACCCCCTAAAACTAATTGAATCAAACTTATGAACTTCAAGTTCTTCATTTCACTTCTAATGCGCCGAAACGTACTTATACTACTCGGATTGACGCCAAATTTTGTGGGCAAGTCCTAAATGTTATATTGGACCTGTACCGGGCTCCGGAATCATCATACGGGCCCGATACCAATATGATCAAGCATTATTTAATTTCATTAAATCCTTAGAATTTCAGTTTAATAATTTCTAATAAAAAATTCATTACTCGGGCTAGGGACCTCGAAATTCGATTCCGGGCATATGCCCAGGTCCCATATTTTCATATGGACCCTCCGGGACCATCAAAACACAAATTCGGGTCCATTTGCTAAAAATGTTGACCAAAGTCAAACTTAGCCTTTTAAGAAAATCTTAGGGAATCAAGTGTGTCTATTACCACTAAAACTCTTCCAAATCCTGAACCAACAATCCCTGTAGGTCGTAAATTAGTTAAAGCGAGCGCAGAAAGTTTTATTTAGGGGGACGAGGTTCTAAAAAGCAAAAACGACCAATCGGATCGTTACATGAAACATGTCCGAAACTCGCCCGATCACTCAAGGCTCCAAACCAAAAAATTTCACATGTCTAAAAATATCATATGAATTAGCTCGCGCGATCAAAATACTAAAATAACATCTAGAACCAAGAATTAGACACCAAAATGCATGAATTTCAAAAGAAAACTCAAGAACCTCTATATTGTAATCAAGCGTCTGAATCCTACCAAACCAACTCCGAATGATACCAAATTTTGCAGACAAGTATCAAATAACAAAGCGTGCCTATTCCAAGTATCAAAACTAAATTCTGAATCCGATAACCAAAATGTCAACTTACGGTTATATTGCAAATTTTCGGCAAAATAAGACAAATCAACATAGGAACCTCCGAAATCGATTCCGGCCATATGCTAAAATCCAAAATCACGATACGAGCCTATCGGAGCCATCAAAATACCGTTCCGTATTCGTTTTCACAAAAGTTCTAACTTCGATTAACATTTCTAACTTAAGCTTTTAAACCAAGAACCAAAGGGTTCAAATCAATCCAAAACTTTCCCGGAACAAAACTAACCATCACCGTAAGTCATAAAACTACAAATGCACACGTGTGAAGCGTCAAAGGGGAAATATGACTCAAATACGCAAAACGATCGATCGAGTCATTACACATATATATTATATTTAATCAGTAAAATTCTTTTTATATCTAGCTAGCAAATATCATTATTTTTAACTTACCAAATATGTAATTTGTCCTAGAACTTGGTAACATAAGAGAAACTCTAGCTATAAATAACATTTTTTCAGTTTTTGAAATTAAACCTCTAATCAATACTCCTGACTACGCCACTGTTTGCCAGTGATGACAGGAAATTTCCTATATACTATCGTCACATAAAAAGATTTATCACCAAATGACAAAATAGAATATAGAATATTGGAATTTTCCATATGTTCAATGTGGATACAAATGCTTAATATCGTTTCCAAAATTATGAATGATAAATTTCAGTGGATAGTTCAGGACCATAGATGAAAATTATTTTTTCTTTTTGACATACTAATCTCCTTCCTCTATCTCCTGTGTATAATTAAAAAGGTGAAAGCAACTGTTTCGATGTTTTGATTCTTCACGTAGCTAGCGTTCCAAGAATCTGGATGACTGGAAGGTTAAGGGAAATCATGATAGGACAACAATTAATTTTGCTATTGAAATAACACTATGTTTGTGAAGTAGAAAGGAATTTTTACATAATAATTGGTTATATTCATAATTTAATTTTTATATATAAATTATAAATTTTTTATACATAATATAAATAGATTATATATTTCTATTATATATCCGCCAGATATATAATATATTTTATATATCTGTATGTTAATCCACGAGGGCTAAATCAACTTCTCTTATTTTGATTTCTTTTCCTCATTTTTATTTAATATTTGGGTTGGTCACATGTAATACAGAAAATTCAACTAACCGGCAACAGTTATAAGGTTACAATTTAAATTACAGTCTCCTAATCATTGGATTCACTATGCCTGACATGCAAGGTATATAGGATTGACGCCTTGGGACCTTGTATTAACTTCCTCTTAGGTATATAAGGGGGCATTTGCATCTACACCTGCCTTTTGGATCACGTTTTAACTTGTGCTCGCTTTGCAAAAAAAATTGTAAGCGTACCTACTTTTTCGCATAACTTCAGCATATGGGGCTGAAGTAGCAAAGGCAATCACGCAAAACTTCAGCATTCTAGTAGACGAGCCTGAAGTAGCAAGTGTGCTGAAGTTTTTGTTTGTAATTGTTGAACTTAAGCATAGTAGCTGAAGTTTTATTCTCTATTTGTTGATGTTTTTGTTTGTAATTGTTGAACTTAAGCATAGTAGCTGAAGTTTTATTCTCTATTTGTTGATGTTTTTGTTTGTAATTGTTGAACTTAAGCATAGTAGCTGAAGTTTTATTCTCTATTTGTTGATGTTTTTGTTTGTAATTGTTGAACTTAAGCGTAGTAGCTGAAGTTTTGTTCTCTATTTGCGGAAGTTTTTGTTTGTAATTGCACTAAATAAGTTGAAGTTTTTTTGTCTTGGATTCATTAGCTTCGTCATTAAGCTTTTTCAAAAACATTAGCAGAAGATGCTGAAGTTATTTATTTAATTTATAAAAATTTCAGCACTAAATAAGCTGAAGGTTTTTTTGTCCTGGATAAGCTTTTTCAAAAACTTCAGCAGAAGATGCTGAAGTTATTTAGTTCATTTGTAAAAACTTCAGCACTAAAAGCTGAAGTTTTTTTTTTTGTCCTGGATTTATTAGTTTTGTCATAAAGCTTTTTCAAAAACTTCAGCCGTTATTTAGTTCATTTGTAAAAACTTTAGCACTATATAAGCTGAAGTTCTTGAAAAAGCTTTCTAACATACTAGATAAATAATCAGATTGCCAACAGTATCTAAATCATAAATTTTGGAAACAATAAATGTGAAAAGAACAGAATTATCATTGTCTACTAACTTACGTACGTGAAAATATTCACAAATTATTGTCTACTAAGTTACGATATTATTTATAATTTATTTTTAAATAATCTAATAAACATATTTATGGAAATTATCTCATGAACTAAAGTTCCATAGCAGCACCAACAGCAGCAGAAGAAAGAAGAAGAAGAAAAAGAAGAAAACGAAGGAGGAGAAGGAGGGCTGAAGTTGTTTAAAAAGTAGGTACACGTTAAAACTTTTTTAAAAAATGGGTATAAGTTAAATGGGGGCGACCAAATAGGGCGCCCCATGCAATTTTTACGGTATATAAATGAAATGAAATAAAACGTTGGAGTAAAAGACCATTTAAAACGGGCCAATTTAGAAAAAAGACTTGCTACAACCTATATTGTTCGGACTCTCCAGGAATGTCATCAGGTGTGTGTCGGATTCTCCAAAAGCAGTGTACTTTTAGAGAATCCGACACGAGTACGACAGTATTTTGAAGAGTCTGCGCAACATAAGCTACAATAGCTATAGGTAAAAAGTAGGAAAAAGGGCAAAAAAAAAAAAACTCTTAACTATGAGAAATAGAACAAATTTGTCCTTATCATTAGTGGATTAGTTTAGATTTTTCCCTCAAACTATGAAAAATAGACCAAATTTGGCCTTCATTTGACTTGGTTTT